ACAGCAACATTTTATGTTCAGTATCTCTAAATAAATGATGGTTTCATAATTTAGCTTTAAACATAATTAACATTAGTACTGCTAAATGAAAAGCATGCGTTGTGTATGCTTAACTGAAAACTAAAACTCACAAGTTTGGAGAACCTTGTACACTGAACCCACATGAGACCAACATTCCCACTAAACATATTGAAATTGAAGAACTGTGATGACACCCACTTGATATTTATCATTAAAACAGTTTTTGTGTTCAAAGGGAATGTGTAGAACTGTTTTGAGGATAGGTACCTAAGACAAAGGATACCTAGGGAGATGCAATATCATAGTAACTAATGGAAAATAATAAATACTGAGAAACTTTTACTCTGGGACCCAAAGTCAACTCTTAAACAATATTCCAAAATGGTGAAATAACATATGTGGGGAACTTATACATTGAAAAGTAACATCTTGTGGTTCTTGGAACACTTTATCCATGAGCTACTAGTGAATAGGTCTTAGAGCAAGGAAGGAAAAAAAAGACAGAAAAAAAGTTGGAAAAGAAGACTATAGAAAATAGAAAGGAGAAAATAGGTGCATTGATTAAGAGAGCATTTCCCACACCAAGGATCTACAATTTCTGAATTCCTGGGACAGCAGCATTGTCAGTCACCCTCATCCTATGTCTGCTGTGCTATTTCTTCCTTGTAAGGACAGCAGCCTGATCTTCTCTGTCTGTTTATCTTGCTCCTCTTTGCATATCTTTCTCATGGTTTCTCATGACACCCCATGTCTTCTGTTTAAAAAAAGAGAGATGATATTTTTCTTTAAAATAATTACATATACATGTCTATTTGTGGCATTTCCCCCACTGCAAACATAGCTGATAACTGCTATGATTGACACACCACTTTACAGGTAAAACACATTTCTTTGTGCTTTTGTGGCCAGTTACTCTGATAAAGCTTTCCATTAGGATATTTTGGCTACATTACTTATTATATGATTTATTTTCATTTTTAGGAGAGAGTGAAAGTAATTAAAACAATGAAGTGTATTAATTTTTGCATTCTTAATTTTTACATTTATCAACATTTTTCCTAAAGAACAAAACCAAAAAAATAAATCTTCGCCTTCCTAACATGTTTGCTTCCTTCAAAAGTGGTACGTTGATTTTAGATAGCTTGGGTTTCCTAATACTTTCCTCTTCATCCAGTTGAGCAGGCATAGTAAGTCGTAGAGAACTCTTCTGTATCAATCTGTATCCACCTTGTTCTTTTCTGTCATCACTGACCTATAAAAGACCTTCAGACATCTCCTACACATTTTAAAAATGCTTCCTAATGGATATTTTAATGTCACAGTCCCCTAAAAGGATAGTCGATGAATTAACTTTCTTAATCTTCTATTACCTTGTCTACCCCATCACTGAGTAATGATGATTTTTCAAACAAGGCAAGAAATAGAGTTTCCTTTGTGATTTGCTGTATACATATCTAAGTGTGACTATTTATATGCGAATCTGTGTCAATCTGAATCTACATTAGCAGTGCAAAATCTTCCATGAAAGAACACCTAACCGCACTGCCTGCAATGGGATCAAGTTTTGTCTTTCTTTTTGATCCCCCTCCACTCTTTCCCAGAATACCATCAGTTCTCACTTTTAATTATATTTCATATTGGTAAATTTTAAATCTCAAATTCATGGGAAGTTCAATTTAATGAAGATTTTTATTTGTGGGCCACCATGAAGCCAAGTTACAAGGGCTTTCAGTCACTGCTTGGTATCTGCCAGGCTAGGTACACGAGGTAATGATGTGCCTCTCTGTCCTAGCTCTGACATTGAAAAAGTTTTTTGCAATGTAGCATTTTATTGTTGGTGATTTTGCTTGAAGTAGACCCCAAGCATCCTCTTGAAATACTGTCTGGCATTCTTAAATATCAATAGGCTGTGATATACCTTATAGAGAAAATATGTTTGTTAGATAAGCTTTGTCCAGACATGGCTTTATAGTTCTGTTAGCCATAGGCTAATGTTAATTAATTTGCAATAGCGATAGCAAATTAAGATGCCTGTCAATAAAAATACATAAAGCAAAGCCACATATTGATTGGTCTAGGTATTTTCATGACTGTAGGTTCACAAATCAGGAGTCTGCATTGTCTACAGAGACTTTACTGAACATGAATACTGTGACTTGTCGCGAGCCGGGACTCTGTCCAGCAGGATCAGATGCCTCAGTGGATAAAAATTTGCTGTGCAAGTGTGAGGACCAGAGTTCATAGTCCTAGAACACAAGTAAAGTTGAATGTAGTAGCTCACATTTGTCATTCCAGTGCTCCTATGACGAGGTGGGAGATAGAGGCAGAAGACTACTGAATTTCATCGGCTAGCTAGCATGGCATACTCAGGAGCCAACAACAAAAACCCCTTAAACAAGGTAGAAATCAAGGGCTGACACCATAGCTGAACCATTTTTCTTTAGGTTTAGTAAAAAGAAATTCTTTCTCAAGAGCAAATGCTATGTTTGCTTTTCTATGAGAAATGTTTAACTTTCTCGTACTTTTTACCTTGCCTGCAAGGAGACTTGCTGTAACTTTACTGTTCAATTATGGCAATGGTATTAATCTCCAGTGTTGGAATGTTCATTTTCTTCCTTTAGTCTTTTACATTTATTATATTATTTTTGTTTGACTCCTCCTTTTTGTGAAAAGCCATGAAGTTCTCAGGGTAAAAATGAGGAATGAGAATGAAAAAAAATTAATGTACAAATAAATAATTGGAACAACTGATCTTGGAGGAAAGATCCAGAGATAAGAGCATGACCACCCATGGCACCCTG